TTAGTGGGACACCCAGAGCTTCACAAAGGTCTCAGCTGAACTCTGGTGTGTGTTATGAGAGCGGTGCATTATGTCAGAAGTGGTCACATTACGACAGAAGAGCCTCAGGGCTGCTGTGGAGAGGAGGAACCGCTGGAGCTACCAAGACCTAATCCCACATACATAGTGTTTTAAGACCAAAGCTACAGTGCTATTTAAGTCAAGCCGTCCGTCTCAAAGGAAAAACATCAGTGCAGAGTTTGTTGTTCCTTAAAGAGATTCAGGGAATTGACTAGAAAACTGTTTCACTACCACGAGTGCCAACGTTTTTCCAAACATCTTTTGGGGAAAACACAAACGCACAGGAAATGTTTTATTTAGTTAGATCAAGCCTCTACCAGACACGAGCCCACTCCAGACTGCGTAGTGCTGCCCATGTTGAACAGCTGAGTGCCAGTGGACGAGCTCAGCACGGTGTCGTCCATCTTTAAACAGACCTGTAACAGACTCCTGTGCTCTGAGCTCTTCTTACAACAGCTGAAGATAAACTGGGTGGCTGTTCAAAGAGGACTCCTCTCCACCTTTTCTAACATCTGCTCTGAACACAGCACCGGAGACAGCCATTCTTACAGCTACACTGGAAATTCAGCGTTTGACATGTAGGCGCGACCTTTCTCCCCTTCTTTATAGAAAGTCATTACATGCTGTGGAGGCAGTGGGTGAATACAAAACACTCCACTCCATCACCCTAATTAGAGTCATAGGGGCCACATGCTGCAGCCACACTGCATCAGCTTTCATTTCATGGCTCAGTTGGACGGACTGTGGCTGAAAGAAACCAGCATCTTGTTACACCTAAACACAACCACCAGCTCAATGCAAAGGTCAGTGAATGAAGAAAAGAGTCTATTAATAATCCCCGTTCAGATGTACATGCTGGGCCCAAGACTCACCCAAACAGATTCTTTCTTAAGTGGAACACGATTCAAGATCATTCGAACACACAGGGAAAATCGTTTTACCTGAAATCACTACGCCTGAATAATGACACTAAAATTAGCTAAATACAATCAAGACAAACTTCAGGCAAATTAATCTTCACACAATCATCATCATGGATTACTAACTTACTAAATTTTTTTCCATTAATGGAAGGTCATCTGACCTAAGTGAAGAAGACGACCCCCTACCCTTGAGATAAACAATAAAAGGTAGAAGCTGTGATTTATGAATTACTGTTGTACTGTTAACTGCTCCATAATAAAGAGTTAGGTACTTTTTATTCTAGTCCAAGGTTTTAAATTAAAATTCTAGGAGGTCCAGACCCTCAACATCCTCCTGAGTGGAGACCCAGACTAATACTGTGTCACCGTTTCTCCTGTGGGCAGGACAAAGACACAAGGAAAAGATGCAAGTGAGGGAGATGACAGTGCTTATAAGACTCAAGAAACTAATGCACATCAAATGATTCGGTCCTTGACGATGCACCTTGTATGCATTGCATGTTACTCGTTTCCTTTCCCATGTTGTTTAAATTTAGCACATTAATAAAGGTCCACTGACCTCGTCAACGTTCTCAAAGGCGTTGATGACATCGTAAGGCAGGCAGGACAGCAGGTCGATGACAAACCAGGTCTTGACATAGTTCATGCGGATGAGTTTCGGGTCAGAGATGACCTCTCCGGCCGGGCCAACGAAGGTGGTGTGGAAGTTGAGGACAATGTCGACAAGGAAGATGATGTCCACGATGCTGTCGACCACCAGCCAGGTGACGTTGCTCTGCTTGGTCTTGAAGGAGACGTTGTAGGGAACCATGATGGCGGTGTAGAAGGTGAGGATGAGAATGACCCAGTCCCACGTGGTCTTGAAGAGGCAGTAGTGCAGGATGATGTGTGGCGGCGTTTTCGGGGTTTCCTGTTTGTACTGAGGCAAGATGTCCGAACCCAGCTGCAGAACCTGAGCCAAAATACAGTAAACAGTGTTTGAACTGCGCCTGCTTTCAGTAGGAAATTGGTCCATTCACTTTCATAAAGCACTGTAAAAACTGGAGTAGGGTAGAAACAGCGTTTGCCCAGCGAATCACCGATGATGGATTAATTCATTAGAGCCAACAGTAATTATCTCTGCAGTTAGTGGAGGGACGGTTGAGAACCAGGTGAAGAACTTAACAGCAACACGTCGGCACGATGCTGAGGCCTGAGGGACACTGGTTAACACATTTTATTTTGATTCATTTGGACAATTAGAGAGACAACAGGAGTGTATGTTAAACACACCACAAAGTTATTTGGTTTTTATTTTAATGGAACCAGGACATTTTTTCTAAACCAACTCTATTAATTTTACACAAAGCACCATAAAGACACATGGAGGAGATCAATAGAGCAAAAACCGAGGCATAAAAATGTGACCTTGTCCTTCTTTTAAGGGCAGGGTTGGCGATTCCTTCCAGAAGCTTTTTTGTTACATATCTTGAAATTCTATTTTCATCCCAATGGCAGTGAACACATTAAACGCACTGACACCATCAAGGAAAAATAGTCTGTCATCCATGGCAACAACGGGGCTGAAAAACGCCTGGCTAATTTTACTCATCCCAAGCAAAACCACTGGACGGCCTACCTGCCTGTCAACCTACTTCCTACTCTGTCCTTGGGCGAACCACGAGTCTCCCACCAGGTGGCGTAGTTGCTTGTGGACGTATTACTGCTGGACAGGTAATTATGGGTTTTGTTTTGTTTGGGGGACATTTGTTAGTTTCCTGAAATCTGTAGTAGTAGGCATGCAGCGCATGTTGCAGTGCACGTTGTGTTTTGGAAGAGTCAGAACAAAAGGGTGGGATTTCTCCGGTTGGTTACTTTCAGAATCCAGCTTCCTCTTGCTGGTTTTTCCCGGATCGCCAACTCTACCTTTAACTGTCCCTGAACTTAAGCTGAATAATACATTTAAGACAGGACGGTGCTGAAATATATTTTCTAGAGCTGAAACAATTTTGTTGATTACTCAGTTAGTTTCTACAAAACTTTTTTGAATAAAAAATGTTGTTCTCTGGTCCCAGCTTTTTAAACATGAGGATTTACTATTCTTTTCTATAGGATAGTTAATTCAATATCTTTGGGTTCGTGACACCAACAACCCAATTGTTGGTCGAACAAAAGCAATTTAGAGAATCTTACGTTTAAAGAATTTAACAAATCATAATGAGGAGGAGGAGCAGACAGGTCTTCTCTGGTCCTCCAGGTCGGTCGACCAGCACCAGCATTGAGTCTGTGGTGTTGAGGTGCTTGGTCTTGATTTGATAGACAAAATAATTAACCAATAAATAAATAAACAATCTATGAATTAACTGAGAAATAAAGTAAGCCTTTATCAGCCCATTTCCTCACACGGTAAACTGGCCTAGCACTGCCCAGCAGCAGGTACAGCGCTGCTCCTCACATATTTATTTACTCTGACAGACAAGCAGCTGATATAACAGTTTAATATAATATAATGAGGTGATCGTGTCCCCCCCCAGTGTCAGGTGTCACAGGACTGAAGAATATGGACCAATAACTGGAGAGCTAACTGTCACTGTGTTTACGAGCGCTCAGGTTGCACAACAAATTTGATCATCTGTCAGTTGTGGGACTGAAAATAGACCCGGGTCCCTCAGCAAACAAATAGGTGTTCTCCAGCTGTGTAACGATCCAGAGACCCCAGCGCTCCGCCGGCCAACCAGAAAAAGAGAAACACTACCATATGGAAAACAAATGAACAAAATTAGACTAACGACTCGGCTAGCTGAACACCAGGAGTCAGGACATACGTCTTCAAATGTGGCAGCATCAAATCACGGTTTTCAGATGCCACAGCCTCGCAGCGCCGTTTATAAGCTCTGTGTTTTAAAATGAGCTGAGCTGCAACAAGTGGTTGATCAATAGAGAAATCGACTGACGGAAACTTAATCTGCAACTACTTGATAAGAGATGTTAAAATTCTCTGGTTTCCGTTTCTCAGTTGCAGTTTTATTAAACCTCTATGACAGTAAAATTAATATGTTTGGACTGTTGGTAGGACCTACAGCACACTGGTACCTCGACGGCTCATGTGCTTACTGGGATTGATTAGCTTCTCCCACCTCCTCAGCAGACTGGACAGGTAGACACAAATACTAACAAAATAAGTCAAACAAATTTTACAAAGAGCACAAATCCAATCACAGATCCAAACAGAAACACAAACTACATCCAACACCATCTCAGACTCTACGTCTGCCTCCGGTTGCTGTTGACTAGACCGATCGCTTAAAATCACAACATCAAATATGGAAATCCACACATTTTTCCATCTTCTAAGGAAGCCTGCTCCATCTGTTAATGGCCTTAATGAAAAGGCAGACTGTGCAAAGGCAGCGCTTCTCTTAGGGAGCCAACACTGTCACATTCACCGTTTAGCATTCAGATCAGGTCCCTACAGTTTGATCAGACACCTGGAGCAATGACGAGCCGTCCCACGTCACATTACAGAAGCTAACGATGCTCCGACTGAAGCTGCTCCTCTTTGTAGTCATATTCCCAGCTTTTCTAAGCCTTAAATAAAGGAAATGAAATGAAATGAGGGCTGTTAAGGACGTGCAGGAGCTCTGGTGGCAGGCGAGGACAGTGGGGGGGGCTCAGTCTGAAAGCAGGTCATCAGTAAACAACAACAACTGATCCATCTCTCCGCTCATCTGAGCACGCTGCCTAACAACAGGAAGACAGGATGCCAGAGCTGCTCTCAGCTGTTGGCTTTGTTTCACAGCAGTTTAAAGCAGCTCAGTCAAACGTGCTTCTTATCTTGAGCCATAAAAGACACCAACATCCAGGAGAGTCTTTGTGTGCACTTCAGTTCAGTCTTGTTTCAAGCTGTACTCATTCCATTACTTTGTCTCAGCTCCTGCAGGCTAGAGCAGACCATCTAACACCAGAGGAAAGACTTTCAACTAGTGCGGGACACAGATGCGGCCACCTGGACAGAACCTCTGCTGTTCACCTCGGGATGTCCGAGTCCACGGCCTCTGTTTAACAACGCCAAGGACTTATGAAAAGAGTCTTTACTTCAACAAGGCAGAGGGAAGGTTCAAATGGAAGAATACGAGGACACAGCCAGCAATATTTACTTCACTCGCTCAGTGTGTTTACATGTAGTAACCAAGTCTCAGTCCGCTCTCGGCAGGAATCAGACATTTTTAATGTGTAAACAAGACACCTGGTTTGTGTCATCAAGTTACAGAAAGTAGAGTAAAGCAGGGTTGGAGGAGTTTCCCTAAAACCCCTCATGAAAGCCAAAGAGACAGGACACAGAAGTCTCCTAAAGAAACCTCACTGTTGTCACATCTGTGTCTAAAAGCCCACCAGTCTCTCAGTACTCGTATGTATGAGACTTAAAACGCACCGTAAATCTGACTGTAACAGTTTAAACAGGTGACCACGAGAGCCAGTGAGTCCCATCACTGCTTACGAGCTCTCTAATGAAACCGGAGACCACAAGGTGTAGTTTGGCCTTGAAAGACCAGATTTCACCTTCACCAGGTGTTATTACTGGACGGGTTCGCTACCAGAACTGTCAGACTTAACCTCCAACACATAACGATCACAGACAGAAAGATCTCCCAGCAGGTTCCCGTAGGAGGAGAAACAGTCTTACCTCTGCCAGTCTCGAGTGTTTGTGGACGTTTTCCCCTTTATGGACCGCTGGAGCGAGCTGCTGAAGAACTCCTCGACTGCTGGTTAACGCTCGGGTCAGGCGGGCAAATTTACTCCACCCTGGCAATAAGAAAGAACGACAGCGTCACAGTCTGAGGCCTCAGGACAGATGAGACATCGCTGAGTGATGATTTCACATCAAACTGAGTGGCTAACGGGACAAACCTGTGCTGTATCTAGTGACAAACTGGTCTGAGCCTGGCTGTTGTGACCCAGCTGGAACGATGAAATAAAAGCACACAAAATACTGAAGTTTGACTTAAACGCTGACTCTTTGTCTCGTCTTTACCGTGAAATTGCTTTTGCATAACAAAGGCAGCTCCATCCAAGAAACAGACACACAAGTAGAATTTACTACGACTGGTAAGAAATGTTCACAAGACGAAAAAGCTAAAGCATCAAACATTCTCACTGATCAAAATGGTTTTCTTTGACTAAGTTATCCAGAGTTTTACTCGTCTAAAAAGTGACTGACAATAAAAAGACCAAAGTTGGCTCAGTGTGACTAAACTAACATGGACGTCTGATCTCAGGACTAAGACTAAACTCAGAAGCTGATGGGGACACCCGAGTCTTATACCTTGTACTTAGGACCTGGGCTTTCTCACAGTGCATCGGTACAACACACACCTTTGGAAGTCTCGTCCTCAATTGGCTGCTTGAAGGCAGTGATGTCACTGAAGGTGCAGAGAAACAGGACAACTTTGTCCTGCTCATTCCTGATTGGAGCGATCTTTACGAAAAACCAAACCGGCATCCCTGCAGCACAGACAGACAGGGAATCAGTCTGATGATCCTCCCAGACACAATCGACCACGTCATCAAGGGAACCAAAGTAAAAACTCTCGTCCGACAGTTACTGCAGTTTGACTTCTGGACTGTTTCGCTGCAGTGCTACATTTATTCTGGGCTCTGAGACTGCGCCCACAGCTTCATATAATTCAGGCTGAATCCAGTCTGCCATTGGTTGGTTCAGGTTAACAGTGTCTTTAGGGCAATCTAATGTTTCCCCTGACTGTGATTCATTTGACTGGGCTGGTGTGCTGCTGATTATAGGGCAGGAGCAGGAACCCCTTTAAAATCCTGATGTTGATTCTCTACCAGCTGGTGATCTAACGGCCGGGCCTGGCGGAGCTGCTGCACTACAGTAACTATATTTAACGGCGGTCCCTTGGGATTCGGCCTCTATAAGTGTTTCTTACTTTATGCTGTTTTCAGTGCTGGTGGTGCACGGTGCATTTTGTTTACTTGGCACACGGAGCCACAGTAAGTTGGGATAGGCAGTCTGCCATTTGGCCTGCCAAACTGAAATGGGCTGAAACCTCGACCACCCCGTGCAGATGGCTGTTTGTCCGCACAACGGATCTCAGTCATCTGTACAGTAAGTCACGTGAGCTCCGACACACAAATAAACTTCTAACTACTGACAATGGGCCTCGTGGACGAACAAATTCACCCTCCTCTTCTGACTTTTCTGTGACGTCTGTTCGTAGGGTTGGATTCACCAAACTGACTACACAAACATGCCGCTTGTTTCAGACTGATGAACACCACCTGTTCATGAGGACGTGTGTCTGAGATCAGATACCGAACATAATAGACCCCCCCGAAACATATTTAGTTTTCATCTGCAGGAAAGTTTCATCTACAGAAATGATAACGAAGGCAACACTGAAAGTCTGCTAGCAGAAATAGGCAAACTAAGAACACATTTAGAGCCACACACACTTTATGTGCAAGCTGAGAACAAATGCCTGAGGCCTTGTCTTCAGTATAAAGCTGCACTCCAGGACAACCTGCAGGTGGGTTTATCTTCTACTGCATTTCTGTTGCCATTTCCAGAGAGAACAGAGATGCCCTGCAACAAAACACATTACAAACGTGCCAGTGCAGTCGCTGGTCACGTGACCTTAACATGACTAAAGTGAAGAAAACAAGGAAAACCACAATATTAACAACAACAATGAAAACAGATATAGCTGTTTTGCTCAGCGTGGTGTTGTCAGCCTGTTTATGGAAACACAAAATACGGAGTGCAGAAAAATCGTAAAGAAAGTCGCACTAACTGGCTGATCTGCTACGTTATCTCTCTCTTTGACTGAGTCCACCAGCTGTCAGCATCTGTCTGGGTCTCGAGTTCATTGAGGTTCTAGCTTTTTGAGGATTCAGTTCAAATCAAACACCTTTAGTGTGAAGCACATGACACATACAACCAAAGTCAACAACCAAAGTACTCACGATTTTTCTTGTACATCAGAATCTCAAATGAGTTCATCTCGTAGTTCTCGAAAGTCTGTCGAACCTTATCAGTCGTCTCCTTGTCGGTCAGCTCTCCGTACATGAAGCTGGAGGAGGAAACAGTCACACACGGTCATGAAGCTGGAGGAGGAAACAGTCACAAACACACGGGACGACAATCGGCTGCCAACAACTGTCTGTAAATGGTCTTATACTTGTTCAGCGCTTTTCTATGCATTGCAGCCCACTCAAAGCGTGTGTGTGTGTGTGTGTGTGTGTGTGTGTGTGTGGCGTCGTACCTGCAGGTGCTGCTTTTCTGCATGACCTCGGCTCGATGGTACCCTGACAGTTTACAGAAGCCATCATTGCTGTAGACGATGGGCCAGTCCACGATCTGAGCGTTCCCCAGCACAAAATTGGTATCTGAGCACAGAAACCAGTACTGTAGGTTAGACTGTGTTCTCAGTAGGTCACGTGGCAGAAACACTTAAATGCCATGTTTTATACATGACAGGAATGCACACTTCCAAAGGCTAAGAGCATTTTACAGGCTCAGAAGTAAGAAAGTCACTGATCTCTGCTCTGGTCACACTGTTCTCCACCAGCTCCTCGCTGCACAGAGCAACGTGTTGAGCGGTGCGGCTCACTGGGGGGTTTAATAGCTGGTGGACAACAGTGGAGGTCTACGACACAGAGCGATGAGCTGGACCAGGGTCTGGACTCACACACATGACAGTGAGGACACCACATTGTTAGTCTCTGGACGGGGTTGGTGGGGAATGACACTGGATGTTCACTGAACGTCCTGGGGGTGTGTGTAAAACACAAAGACTGATGAATACCAGAATTAATGATCGTGTTCTCAGTATAAAACAAAGAATCACAACTGTCATTTCTGACCACGATCATATGTGAACCAGGAAGCTATAATGACAGTGTGAACGTATTTAATGTTGCAGGGACACACAGTGTTTTGTTATTCATATTCAGTCTGGACGCAACAGGACAAACATCAGCTCACAGACACAAACACAGTGGTTTCCAGCAGCACAGGGAGGGATGGGGGTGGGATCCACTGCTACACAACCTTTGGCTATAGAACCATAGCATATTATTCAATATACACATGGACTGAACACTATGACCTTTGTAAAAGACTCGATCTGGTCAGGCTGTTTCCTCCATCAGTGATGTTATTTCTGTCCTCAGTTTCCATAAAAACATCACAGACCTCTACTTAAACATTCAGCCAGGACTTCCTGAATATTTCACACTCACACATTCATTTCTCATGCACAGCTCTGAGCTGAATCTTAGCAGAGGCGGCTTCAGCCGCTCCTAAAAGACCTCAGAGGACGGCGACTACACAACTGCTGTCATGCACAGTACGTGGCACGTTGTTCATGACAGCGATTTGTTTTAAAATGACAAACACACGCATACAAAACAATCCCAGCAGACACAGAAATGCATTGTAATGTTTAGAAAAGCAAATTGAGCTTCAGATTTCAATTGATGACATTTTCTCTCTTATTATTTAGAGGTTTCAATAATTCTATGATTACATAACATTCTGTAGAGAACTAACCCTAATGAGACAATGAAGGTCACTGAGCTGCAAAAAGTCTTCAAATACAAACATTAAAGTAGGTGCACGTATATCAGCTTTAAATAAATGACGCCCTATAATGAAGCTGTAAGTGATGAAACTAATTTTAAATGTGCCATTCTGCATAGTGAGTATTTTAGTACTTTAAATATACTTTGATGCTAATACTTAACATGTTGAATGCAGGACTTGTAACAAAGTATTTTTACCTCGTTGTATTGTTACTTTTACTTAAGTAAAGGATGTGAGTACTTCCTCCACTGCAAGTTCATTATTTTACATTACTCTCAGCAACATCGTTGCTGCTGTGATGAAACCAGTTCATTTCATATAGGCTCCATTTTACATTCAGGGTGTGTTGTGTTCGTTATCTATACTTTACAAATGCAGGCGTTGTAGCACTTTGTCAGGTATTTTTACAAGTTTGTGTCCCGGAGACACTAAAGTAAAAGGACCATCGGTGCCAGCCTGCCCTCCGAGGAGGACCTGGACACCTAACGGGTCAGAAGGAGAACAGAGAGGATCATTGCAGACCCCTCACATCCTGGACACAAACTGTTTGTCCCCTCTGGACAGTTTTAAACATCAGGGTTTACATGTCTGTAGCTAATTTGTGATTGTTGCTCAGACACATTTTATTAAACAACTTTATTACCGTGGTTGGAAATGTCTCCCAAAGGACGTTAATACATCGGGTCAATTTTAAACAATTCAAAAAGGCTGCACCCAAGGTGCACGTCAGGTGTACTCTGCAAAAATCACCTCCACACTCTGAAAGATACCTCAAAAAGTTTGTTCTGAGCTTAAAATGTTCATTTCAGCAAAGCTAAGAATAAACAATTCTGAGGTATCTTTGAGTGTAAAGGCTTTTAAACACGCACCAAAATGTAAGTAAGAGCTGAGTTTAGCTGTTTAGTCATCAGTCCAAACATTTCACTTCTTTGAAATCAGCAGAGCTGATACTGAATCAACACAGAAATATTAAAGATTAATTAGCTGTAACTAGTCCAACACATGTTAGTCACTTTACTGTAGCCGAACAAACACAGTGAAAAAACCCAAGAGGTTTTTAACATGATTTAAAGAAATGACTCAGTCATTTTGTCCCAGTCAACAGACTGAGGACAGGATCTCAGGTGACATGTGAAATTACAGCTGATTACTCATTTTCTCCTATAAATCTATCACGTCACGTCTTTTGTCTCATAGTTAGGTCCACATTGAATTTAAATGGCACCGGCCACAGAAAGAACATCATGATGCAGTCGAGGTCCCAGACAGACAGACAGAAGGACAGACCAGTGTTTGTAAGGGGTCAGCTCATACGTGATCATCCACTGTGTGGTTTCTTCTCTGTAGTTTACAGCTGCTCTGCTCGTCATGTATGAGAAAGGTGATGGAGAGCCAAGCTGTTCATCTTGGTCACCTGACCAAAGGTGTCCCTGGAACGCCAAAGCTACGCCCTTGGCTCTGGAGACTCCGTTAGTTTCCCACTTTGCCCAGTGGGTCGCCAACGTTAATCCAGTCGTTCAGTGGACACCTGGTATTCACAGAAATAGTTCATGTACCTGTTTCTGCTGTGCGTTATGTTAGTCCCGTGTTCCCAGTCTACCCACATCCAAAGACCAGTAGGACACATCAAGTATTTCGCAGGTAACTGGGCCGGTTAAGGTTTGGGTCAGGATGTGTGGTTGTTTTAAATGCAGCGGTGTAAAGGGCGGAATGTGTGATAAAGTATTACCGAGGTCAAGTCCCCGTGACGGAGCCAATCACAGTGAAGCTGCCTCACGGTGACACAACCGAACCACGAGACACTCCACACAACAAACAGCCACTAACCAGGCACA